ATCGTGCTTATGCGGTGGTAAACAATGGCGGACACAAAGAAATTAAATTAGGTTCTCTAATTCCTTTAATTAGTACTACGGAAATGGACGAAGCCGGAAAAATTAGTGAAACATATAAACTTTTAAGTCTTTTACTTAAAAAAACTCTTCAATCTTTGGATGATGACACGAGTGCCTATGCGGAAGCCGAAAGTTATCTTAGTGATTTAGAAAGTGGAGAAGATTCCGGATTCTTTTATGAGGAATTTATTCATTTTATTAATCATAACAGTCCTTTTCGCCTCGAAACGGGAGGTCTGGCAATTGAACAATTACTCAAAAGCGTTCCGATTGATGAGGAAATTCAACGTCTCAATCGCAAAATCAATCGAAAAGATATTCAAAATATTTCCAACAAACGACACATGCGTCGTTTGAAAATTCTCAATGATTTCAAACAAACACGACAAAAACCCGAATGAATGTTAACGCGCACCATTCCCGTTATGCCTCCCGAATTAAGGCCTTTAGTTCATCTCGAAGGCGGTCGAGTCGCGGTATCCGGATTAAATAAATTTTATTTAGCTTTGCTCATTCGAAAAAATCGTCTCGCCAAACATCGAGAGAAACACTCTCCTACTTTTATGATTAATCAATTGCGTGCCGGAGTGCAAGATGCAGCCGATGCTCTTTTTGATAAATCATTGATGAATAAAAAAACCGATGCCTATGCACGAATTGATGGTCAAAATGAAGCCAATCAATCAATTGCCGAGACTCTAAAAGGAAAAACGGGTCGTTTTCGACAAAATTTATTAGGAAAAAGAGTTGATTATTCGGGGGGTTCAGCGATTGTCGGAGGCCCGGACTTAAAATTAAATCAATGTGGATTGCCACGAAATATTGCCGTTATTCTCTTTCGAGCAATGATTATTGCTCAACTTTTAGAAAAAGAGTTAGCAATTAATAAAAAAATTGCCGAAAAAATGATCGAAGAAAGAGAACCGATTATTTGAGACTTATTAGAAGAAATTGTTAAAGGATATCCCGTAATTTTAAATCGAGCTCCGACTCTTCATCGTTTAGGAATTCAAGGTTTTTACCCTAAATTAGTTCGAGGAAATGCAATTCAGCTTCATCCTCTCGTAACAACTGCCTTTAATGCTGATTTTGATGGCGATCGTATGCCTGTTCACATTCCGCTGACCGAAGAAGCAAAAAAAGAAGTTGAAGACATTGTCATGAGTACTAAAAATATTTTGAATCCGCGAAATGGAGAATTAATTGCGCTGCCTTCGCAAGACATTATTCTGGGAATTTATTATTTAACCTATGAAAAAAAACTCACAACTCACAAACCTATTTATTTTCCCAATGCGGAAACCGCTTTTTTAGCTTTCGAAAAACAAAAAATTTCTCTTCATTCATTAGTTTTTATTCCCGCCAAAGGATTAAACAAAAATGATTTATTCAAAACCAATGGTTTAATTGCGACAACGATTGGAAAATTGATTTTTAATCGAGTTTTTGGCCCTAATTTTGCTTATATAAGTTCTCAAAATTGACAAAAAAGCCCGGAAATTATTCCTTTAAATGCTGATTTAAATCAAAAACTAGCGAATTATGTTCCTCAAAGTCCAATTACGAAATCCGTTTTAGCTTCTATTTTAGAAAACTTTTTTGAGACTTTTGGTCATGAAGAAACCGTAAAAATTTTAGATGCCTTAAAAGAAATAGGATTTCATTATTCAACTCGTTCCGGAGTTACCATTTCTTTGTTTGATTTAATTAAACAAACCGTCAATAAACATAAAATATTCACAACTACCGAAAAAAAATTAAATTCGGTTGCTTCTCTTTTTGACATCGGCGGAATCACTTTTCACGAACATCGTCGAAAAAAAATTGATTATTGAACGTCCGTAAAAGAAGAATTGGAAAAAGATATTACGAATCAATTTATTGCCAGCGATTTAACGAGTTCAATTTATGCGATGGTGGATTCCGGAGCTCGAGGAAGCATTTCCAACATCACTCAGTTAGTAGGAATGCGAGGCTTAATGGTCAATACAAAAGGTGAAATTATTGACACTCCCATTAAATCTTCCTTAGTAGAAGGATTGGACCCGTTGGAATTTTTTATTTCCACCTATGGAGCACGAAAAGGAATGGTGGATACGGCGATGAAAACCGGAGATAGTGGTTATTTAACTCGTCGATTAGTGGATGTCGCTCACGATGTTTTTACGAGAGAAGGAGATTGTCAAACAACGGAATTTTTAGAAATTTCCGCGGTTTATTATCAACAAACAAATTCGGAAATTTTGAGTTTGAGCAAACGTGCCTATGGTCGAGTACTGGCAAAAGGAGTTTTTGATTCGAACGGAAAAGAAATTATAGCTAAAAATACAATCTTAACTCGTTCCCTAATTGCCTTAATTAAAAAACACAACATTCAAACTTTATTTATTCGTTCTCCGCTTACTTGTCGCTTTCCTCGATCTGTGTGTCAAATGTGTTATGGATTAGATTTAGGCCGAAATGAAAAAATTGCTCCCGGAGAAGCTGTCGGTGTCTTGGCTGCACAGTCAATTGGAGAACCCGCCACTCAATTAACGATGCGAACCTTTCACACGGGTGGAGTATCGGATGTAGCCGATATTACACAGGGATTACCACGTGTAATTGAACTCTTAACGGTAATGGGAAAAACAAAAAAAGAAAATGCTCTGATCAGTGAAACAAAAGGAAAAGTGATTAAAATTGTTACTCATATGAATGATTATTGTATTACCGTGCTCAATACAGAAACACAAAAACACTATGATGTTTATGCCAGTCGTTCTTTGCGTTTATTAGTCAAAGAAGGGCAAAACCTGCAAAAAGGAACGCCCTTTACCGAAGGTGCGATCGAATTAAATAAATTGTTGGAAATTACTCAAAATCCTCTTCTCGTGGCAAAATATATTGTCGAAGAAATGAACAAAGTTTATTCTTTACAAGGCATTGATCTTTCCGACAAATATATTGAAATTATTGTTCGTAAATTACTTTCTCGCTCCATCGTGTTAAACGAAGGAGATTCGGATTGTGTTATCGGTGAAGACTACGAAACTTACATTTTATTGGAAAAAAATCAAAAATTGCAAAATGAAAAGAAAAAGATTATTGAATATAAAACAATTATCTGTTCGTTATCGCAAATCGCCACAAAAACATATTCTTTTCTTTCGGCGGCCAGTTTTCAAGAAACAACACGAATTTTAGTTCAAGCGGTTTTGGAGAATCGCATTGACGTGATGTATGGATTAAAAGAAAATGTGATTGCGGGAAGTTTAATTCCTGTCGGAACGGGATATAAATCTCCTTCTTTAATGAATATTTCCGAAGATTTACCCGCGACCACCAAAAGCACTTTATAATTTTGGTTTTTTTACAAATTCAGTAGTAAAATCAAGTTAGATTAATTTCTTCTCAAGTAATTAATCGGAAAGGAATTGTCATATGTGCTGTTGTTCTAAGATTTGCGACAAATGTAAGAAAACTCCATGTTGTTCTTGCTCATGTCACAAAGAATGTTGTTGCTAAAGACAATTTAGATACTGTTTTTTTTCGAAACAGTATTTTAGTTTTACCATTCAGCCCCCGCCTTAAAAGCGGGGGTTTTTTATTTTTATTTTTTTATTTGTTTGTTGTTATAATTAAAAATGTAAATAAATTTAATTCAGTGTTAAGTATTAATATGAGTGTGCTTAATATCGTATTTTTATCAAGTTTTTACTTATGATAAAAATTCAAAAATTTATTGAATTAAAAATTTTATATATTTTTATAGAAAGGTAAAAAAAAATTATGGAAAACAACTCAAATAATAATTTCCTCACCTATGGTTTAGCTTTAGGTTTGGTAGTTTCACTAGGTCTAGGAGCAACGGCTTTAGTTTTGAATTTAACAAAACCTGTTGTTACAAAGCAAGGTCTCGATACTTCTGCTCTTTCAAAATTTTTGTCTCTACATCCGACATTAACAATTGGTGATGGGACTAGTTTAGAGGCTCAAAGAGCAGTCGCGGGAGATGCAGCCAATAATGTTATTAGTCAACTGGATGCAACAACTGTTTATGATGGACTTTATACAATTCCCAATAATGAGGATCCAGCTAATGTGCCAGCAGAAACAGCGAAAACAGTATTGTTTCCGTTGAGTTCAGAGTATGTAGGTGGTGCATTAAGTTGAGAAAATATTAAATCAACTTATGCAAATAAAGTCAATGAAGCGACTAAAACTGAAAGAAAAATAGATTATACATTTTATGATCTTTTAGTAAACAAAGCCGGTCTACTTTCTTTCAAGTTTAACTTAGGCGGCGAGAGTTTTAATGTTGCTTTCAATGCTTATGATGATTCAGTATCAATTCCAGTTAGCACTGATAGTAATGTAGCAAGGATTATTGACACTTCTGTAGACACTTTTAATAATGACGTGGCAATAAGGTATGGATTCACGGATGCAGTAACGGCCAAAACATACCATATTATTGCTGTAGGTTATATTGAGAATGATAAAATTACTGGAAATCCAGATATTCCAGTGATAGATGAAGTTGTAATTGCGATTCCTAAATGAAGCAATCTTCAAGGTAGTGTTCAAGTTGGATTTAAGAAACGACAAATTCCTCAGAACGCACCAGCTGATGCTGTAGCCCTGGCTAATCTTTTGGCTGGCATTTTTGGAACAAACGGACTTTTTCCATCAGTAGATGCTCAAACTGATGCTAATGCTCAAAAAGATGGAGAGCAAGGAGTTAATAAACGAGCATCACTTACAATTGAATTATAATTTGTTATTTATAACACTTTATTTCATTGTTCACAAGGGAACCCGTAAGGGTTCCCTTTTGTGTTTTTAAATAAAAAATTTTTTTTCATAATTTTTCATATTTTTCTTTTTCCCACATTTTTCTTATGTTAAAATAGATGAAAGTTGAAACATTATTTGTTTCTTGTTCTTTGAAATTTTAGGAATGAAGATTAAAATTATTGTTTGAGGATACGAACATAAAATTGTTGATCAATCGGTCAGTCGGATTATCGAAATCGCTAAATCTTCCGGATCAAAAGTATCAGGTCCTATTCCTATGCCAACCAAAAGAGAAATTTTTACCGTTCTTCGGAGTGTATCTCGTCACAAAGATTCGCAAGAACAATTTGAACGAAAAACTCATAAACGCTTAATATCCATTGTTCCTAATTCAAAAACAATGGACGAACTAAAAAGAATTGAACTCGCAAGCAGTGTTAGTCTGCTAATTAAAACTGTATAGATATGATGAATATAGCAAAAGGTCTGATCGGTCGTAAACTAATGATGCATCAATTATTTACGGAAAAAGGAGAAGTTATTCCGGTAACTTATATTGAAGTACCGGAAAATACTGTTACTCAAATTAAAAAAATTGCCACCGATGGATATGATGCTTCACAAATTGCCCTTTCTCATTTTTCAAACAAAAAAATTAAGAAACCGCAGCAAAAACATTTTGCCAAAAGCAATTTAAAAGGTATTATTTATTGTACGGAAATTCGAAATATGAAAGATCAAAATTTGGGAGATAAATTAAACTTGAGTTTATTTAAAGTAGGTGAATTTGTTGATGTTCGAGCAATTTCAAAAGGAAAAGGAACCGCCGGAGTAATTAAACGCCATCATTTTTCTCGCGGTCCGATGACACACGGTTCTAAACATCATCGTGCTCCCGGATCTATCGGCATTTCTCGTCCCGATAAAGTTTGAAAAGGCCAACCGCTTCCGGGCCGAAAAGGAGCGAATTGAACAAAGATACAAAATTTAGAAATTATTCAAATTATTCCCGAAGCAAACCTTTTAGTCCTTAAGGGTTCCGTTCCGGGGGCAAATAAAACTTTTTTAATTATTCAAAATTCAATTAAACAAAAAAAAGCTCGCTCTTCTCGTTCACTTATTCAATATCAAGATTTAAATCAACTTACTTCATCTCTTCAAAAATCAGTTTCTGATTTTTCTAAATCAAAAACACACGAAACTCTCCATTCCCAAAAAGAAGGAGTTTCGCCCCCCCTTGAAACTCCTTCTTTTTTGAATGCCAAAACTAAATCTATTTCAAAAAAAACAATCAAATCATCCGATAATAAAAGGGAAAACTCGAAAATTTTAAAAGAAAAAAAATCTACTCAAACAGAATCTTAATCATTATGACAACAAAAGCCTCTTCTTCCAAAATTAAAAAAACGATCAAAAAAATTGATCCATTCACTCTTTCCGTTTATGACATAAATCATAAAATTATAGATAAAATTGCTCTTGATCAAAAAATTTGAGGCATTTCTTCTCATAAGAATATTATTAGTCGAGTCGTCGCGAACGAAAATGCATCTCGTCGTCAAGGAACTAAAAAAACCAAGAAACGAGATGAAGTTTCAGGTGGAGGTCGCAAACCTTGACGTCAAAAAGGTACCGGCCGCGCACGCGCTGGTTCCATTCGTTCGCCGTTATGAAAAGGAGGAGGAATTATTTTTGGACCTACCGGGAACGAAAATTATTCAATGAAAATTACCAAAAATGAATTTCGTCGGGCCCTATTAGGCATGTTAAATCAATTTGTAAAAGCACAAAAATTAATGATTTTAAAAAATTGTGAATTAAAATCACCATCGACCAAAAATTGAAAAGAGATTAGTGCGAAATTAAATCTTTTTCCTTCAAAGCAACAAATTTTATTCGTTTTTGCTCAACCCCATCCCAATTTAGAATTAAGTGCTCGAAATTTAAAAATGCACAAAATCACCAATATTCACAATTTATCAGTGTATGATTTGTTAAATTCGGAAAAATTAGTTTTTACTCCCGAATCATTAGACGCATTTACAAAAAGGATGTCATTTTAAATTATGATTGCGACAGAAGTTTTTAAAAAAATTCTCATTACCGAAAAAACATATAAATTAATGGAAAAACAACAAATTGTTTTTTTGGTTGATGTTCGCGCTCGTAAACCACAAATTAAAGAAGCTTTTGAAGCGGTTTTTGGTTATAAAGTAGCTTCAGTAAATGTTCTTCGCAAAAAACCTAAACCGAAAAGAGTAGGTCGCTTTCTCGGGAAAACCAAAAGGTTTAAAAAAGCGATTATTACTCTAGCTCCGGGACAAAAATTTGGATTGTTACAACAGGATTCCGATCTCGCGAAAGGGAGTGAATCTTTAGGCGACAAACCGGTTGAGAAAAAGGGTATTTTTTCTCGTTTTTCCGAAAAATTGAAAAAACTCACAACGATTGATGTCGATGCTATTTCCAAGGATAAAAAATAATCATGCCTGTACGTAAAATTCGCCCGCTTAACAATTCTTCTCGTAATACTATTCTGACTAATTATCAGAAAAATCTTACCAAAACAAAACCAACTTCAACCTTACTTCGTAATTTAAAAAATAGAAGTGGACGAGATCAAACCGGACAAATTAGTATTCGTCATCGCGGAGGAAGAGCAAAAAGAAAATATCGTTTAATTGATTTCAAAAGAAATAAATTAAATATTCTCGGTAAAGTAACTTCTTTTGAATATGATCCGAATCGAAATTGTTTTATTTCTTTAATCATCTATCCGGACGGAGATAAAAAATATATTTTGGCTCCTTCGGGATTGAAAATTGGTGATTTAATTGTTAGTACCGATGATCAAGCGGATATTAATCCGGGAAACGCGATGCTGTTGAGTAATATTCCTCCCGGAACTCTGGTACATAATATTGAACTTCGTCCGCGTCAAGGCGGAATTCTCGTTCGTTCGGCCGGAGCATCCGCTCAATTATTGGGACCCGACGAAAGTCAACATTATATAATTTTGAAATTGACTTCCGGAGAAGTGCGTAAAATTGATAAAAATTGTCGAGCTACAATTGGTGTGGTGGGAAACGAAGATTATCGTTTGGTGCGTTTGGGCAAAGCCGGACGAAAACGTTGATCCGGAATTCGTCCAACTGTGAGAGGGGCCGCGATGAATCGTCATGATCATCCTCATGGCGGAGGTGAAGGAAAAGCTCCGATTGGTCTTTCGGGGCCGCGAACCAAATGAGGCAAAAAAGCCCTCGGAGTGAAAACACGAAACAAAAAACGCCCTTCAACAAAATTGATTGTTCGGCACCGCAATATGAAAAAAAGGTAAAATTATAGAATAATAAATTAAATTATGAGTCGTTCGTTAAAAAAAGGTCCTTATGTAGAAGCTTCTCTTTTACAAAAATTTCGTAAAGCGAAAGCAGCCGGGCGAAGAGCTCCGATAAAAACTTGATCACGTCGTTCAACCATTTTTCCCGAATTTGTAGGATTTACTTTTGCCGTTCACAATGGAAAACAACATATTCCAGTGTTCATTACGGAAGATATGGTCGGGCACAAGTTAGGTGAATTCGCTCCCACGCGAAAATTTATTAGTCATGGTGGAAAAAAACGATAAAACAAAATTAATACATGCTTCAATTACTAACTTACCCATTACACCACGTAAGGTACGTTTGGTAGTCAACGTTATTCGTAAATTAAATATTGCCGATGCTTTGAGTGTTTTGAGCAATTTACCCAAACGCTCAGCCCCAATAGTTTTACAGTTATTAAATTCCGGTGTCGCCAATGCGACAAATAATTATGGATATAATTTTAATGATTTATACATAAAAGAAATTTATGTCAATGAAGGGCGTAAATTAAAACGTTTTCGTCCTCGTGCCAAGGGATCAACAGCTCCGGTTTGAAAACGGGCTTCTCATTTGAAATTAGTTCTGGCCGTAACTTCAAATAAATTGGAGAAGAAAAAAGTTTCTGTTTCCTCATCATTGAAATCAAATATTCGAAAAACAGCAAAAAAGGAATAGATTATGGGACAAAAAATAATACCAACAGGTTTAAGAGTCGGAGTGAATGAAAATTGACGTTCTCAATGAGTCACACGAAAAAGTGACTTTCCCAAACTGATGCATGAAGATCATTGCATTCGTCAAATTTTACTTCGCAAATTAGCAAATGCTGGAATTGCTCGAATTGAAATTAAACGACAAAAAAATTTGATTGATATTCTCATTTATTCATCTCGTATCGGAGTTATTCTCGGGCAACAAGGTAAAAATATTGAGAAATGAGTCAAATTAATTAAAAAAACCGTGAAAAATCGTGAATATAAAATTAAAATTGATGCTATTGAAGAGCGAAATCCGGGCTTAAATGCTCAAATTTTAGCCGATGAAATCGCCTACAAAATTTCCAATCGGGAAAATTATCGAACGGTGCAACAAGAAGCTCTGAAAAATGCTCAACGTCTCGGAGTGAAAGGAATTAAAATTATTTTAGGTGGTCGTCTACGCGGTGCAGACATTGCCCGTGATTCAATTTTAACTTATGGAAAACTACCTCTTTCAACATTGCATGCTCACTTAGATTATGGATTCGCCGTATCTAAAACTACTTACGGACAAATTGGAGTAAAAGTTTGAATTTACAAAGGAGAAAAAAAAGGATGATTATAAACTATGTTATTACCGAGTAAAACACTTTGAAAAAAACCCCATCGAATTAAATATGAAGGCAAAACCAAAGGAGCAAAAACGATTGCCTTTGGTGAATATGGATTGATGGCAAAAGAAGGCAATTGAATTACTAATAATCAAATTGAGTCGGCACGAATTGCGCTTATGAAATACACAAAAAAATACGGAAAACTGTGAATTCGAGTTTTTCCACAACTCGCACGAACAAGCAAGCCCATTCAAGTACGAATGGGATCGGGAAAAGGAAATGTAGATAAATGAGTAGCGGTTGTTCGAAAAGGAACTATTATTTTTGAAATTTCCGGATTATCCTTAGAACAATCAAAAGCCGCGATTCGTTCCGCAGGAAATAAATTACCGTTACGTTGAAAATTCGTGAAACGCGGAGAGGAACTTAAAACATGTTAATGAATCAACTACGTGCTCTTTCTTTCGTTGAACTCAACAAGAAATTACAAGAATTACGCGGGCAGTTATTTGTTCTTCGTTTTCAAATTTATAGTGGTAAGAGTAATAAATTTAGTCAAGTTCCGCTTCTTCGTCGTGATATTGCGAGAATTTTAACCATTCTTGGAGAAATGAAAAAAAAGAAAAAAACTCAATTAGACGAGAAAAAGAAAAAAAACTCCCAAAAAACTATAGTTTCGTCAAAAAAATAATATATTATTAAAGAAACATGAGTATCAAAAAAGAAAAAAAGACAGTTATCGAAAAAACAAGACTCAAAAACACAGAAAATTCCGCTTCTGTTTCCAAAAAATCTTTTTGGTCTCGAGTTTCCGGTTTCTTTATTCGTTACCGAAAGACTTCTCAAAAATCAGATAAAAATCAAGTAATTTTATTAAAAAAGCCGAGTTATTATGAAAAAGAAATTTATAGTTATGATGAATATTTGGATAATCGCCATAAATACAAAAAATTAATTTCTCAGTATTCCAAATTAATTAGTCAGAAAAAAGCGAAAGTTTCCGTTGCTGATTTGGTTCCCAATCCAACTAAATATGCCGTTGAATTAAATCATGCTTCAAAATATTATTTAACCGAAAGAAAAGTAAATAAAGTTTTTCATAATGTTAGTTTAAAAATTAAACAAAATGATTTTGTTTGTGTGCTGGGTCCATCCGGCTCCGGTAAAACCACCTTGTTAAACATTATTGCGGGCTTAGATGCAGCGGATAATGGCGATGTATTTGTGAACGGACAAAACTTAGCCCTTCTTAACAGCACTGATTTAACTCTTTTTCGTCGAGAAAATATAGGTTTAATTTTTCAACAATATAATTTATTAGAAAATATTACCGTAAAAGAAAATATTGAATTAGGAGCGAATTTATTACCTAAAAATCGAGAAGCGATTTCATTGGGTAAATTAATGGATATGTTGGAAATTTCCGACCTTGCGGATTCGTTTCCCCATCAATTATCGGGTGGCCAACAACAACGTTTTGCGCTCGCGCGAGCTTTAGCGAAAAATCCTCGTATTTTGTTTTGCGACGAACCGACCGGAGCTCTTGATTCAGCCATGTCCAATAAAGTTATTTCCACCCTACAAATGATTAATAAAAAATACAAAACGACCATTGTGATGGTTACACATGAAGAAAGTTTTGTAAAATATGCAAGTACCGTAATTCAACTTCGGGATGGAGTTATTTCTAATATTAGACAGAAAGCAAATTTAACTAATTCTTCAAATAAATCATAATGAAGTCAAATTTGTCCGAAAAAAAAGTTCGTTTGGAAAAACTCAAAAAAATATGATTAACTCAAAAGAGTTATTTGTATCAATCTTTTGAACCTCAAACTACGGTTCAAGAAATTCAAACTCTTGTCAAAAGTAAAACCGAAACTCAATTAAAATCTCTTTCTTCTTCTTTTTCTGTTGCCGGACGGCTCATCATTAAGCGTGATTTAGGTAAAATTCAATTTTTTCGATTAACCGATTCTACCGGAGAAATTCAATTAATCGTTGATCAAAATACTCCCGCAAAGCTTCGCCAACAAATTCAAAATTGAGATCGTGGTGACATTGTGGGTGTTCAAAAAAGCAAATTAATTTTGAGCAAAACGAGAGAACTTTCTTTGCATCTGAATCAGGCGGTTTTGTTAGCGAAAAGCTTATTGCCTTTACCTAATAAATTTCAAGGAGTTAAAGATATCGAGTTGCGTTATCGTAAAAGATATTTAGATTTAATTATTAATCCAGAAGTAAAAAAAACTTTTGCTCTTCGAACTCAAATTATTTCTACGATTCGTCATTTTTTAGATCAACACAACTATTTAGAAGTAACGACTCCAATTTTGCATTCCGTTCTTTCCGGAGCAGCGGCGAAACCTTTTAAGACTCAACATTTAGCTTTAAAAATTCCGCTTTATTTACGAGTGGCTCCCGAATTATATTTGAAACGCCTCATTGTTGGCGGTATCGCTCAAGTTTATGAGCTGGGAAGAGTTTTTCGAAATGAAGGAATATCATATCAACATAATCCCGAATTTACCATTTTAGAAGTTTATCAAGCCTATGGAAATATGGAAACGATGATGAATTTGACTGAATCATTGATTTTACACATTGCGAAAAAAGTTTTTCAAACTCAAACTTTCATTTTTAAAAATCAAAAATTTCATCTAAATACTCCTTTTCGTCGTGCGAAAATGATTGATTTAGTTAAAGAAATAACCAATATTGATTTTGTTTCGCTGAAAGATTTTAGTCTCGCGCAAAAAATTGCCCAAAACCACGGCGTTCAATTAATGAAACACGAAAACACAATCGGACATGTTTTAAATATCTTTTTCGAGAAATTTGTTCAACCCAAACTTATTCAACCAATTTTTGTGTATGAATATCCTCGTTCGATTTCTCCCTTTGCTAAATCTTGTTTGCATAATCCGAATTTTACCGAAAGATTTGAATTAATCATTAACGGTCAAGAGTATGCCAATGCTTTTTCGGAATTAAATGACCCATTTGAGCAAGAAAAGCGACTACTACAACAATTAAAAGAACACAAGTTGGGAAATGAAGAAGCAAATGAAATGGATCCTGACTTTATTGAAGCTTTGAGTTATGGAATGCCGCCTACCGGAGGACTGGGAATCGGAATTGATCGTTTAATTATGTTTTTTACAAATTCATCCTCAATTAAAGATGTTATCTTTTTTCCAACTTTAAAGCCAACGAGTTAATTTTTTGCTTTTTTGCTCATCTTTTATGCTAAAATACTGAAAATATGAGAAAAATTCAGGAGTCAAATTTGATTACAAATAATCGTAAACAACCTCAAATTTTAGTTGGGAATGTTATTCAGGATAAATTGGAAAAAACCATTACGGTAAAAGTAGTTCGAAAATATCAACATCCTACATATCACAAAGTCATTTCCAGTTTCAAAAAATATTTAGTGAATGATCCGCACAATAAGGCTAAAATAAATGATCGAGTGTCAATTATCGCCGGGCGAAAATTGAGTGCTCGTAAGCGTTTTCGTCTTTTTAAAATTCTTCATTCTTTTTCCGTAACAAATCAACAAAAAGAAAATGGTACAACAAGAAACAAGACTTAAAGTTGCTGACAACACAGGAGCGAAAATAATTTTAATGATTCGCAATTTAAATTCGCGAAAATCATTTGCTTCCGTGGGTGATATCATTGTGGCTACCGTTAAAGTAGCAACCCCTTCGGGAACAGTTAAAAAAGGAGATGTTGTAAAAGCGGTTGTTGTTCGCACAAAAGCCCCCATCAAACGGACCGATGGCAGTATTATCACTTTCAATGAAAATGCCGCCGTTTTAATCGCCAATAATCGAAATCCACGCGGAACTAGAATTTTTGGGCCCGTAAGTCAAGAATTAAAGAAAAGAAAGTTTGACAAAATTGTTTCTTTGGTTGCGGAAGTTTTTTAAAATTATGAGAATTAAAAAAGGAGATAAAGTGCTCGTAATTGCCGGTCAACACAAAGGAATTCGTGGAATTGTGGCGGAAATTAATCAAAAAAAAAATCGTGTTATGTTAGAAGAAATTAAAATTAAAAAACATCAAAAACCGAAACAAGGTGAAGAAAGCGGCAAAATTGTTGAAATAAACAAACCTCTTCCGGCATCAAATGTGCAAGTTTTTGATTTAAAAGCAAAAGACAAACTCACGCGTATCGGATATCGATACGAAAATGAAAAAAAAGTGAGATTTGCCAAAAAGAGTGGAAAAGGTTTTAAAACATAATGAATAATAAAAGTTTTTATCAAGTATTTCGAAAAAAACTTCGTCCTGCTTTGCAAAAAGAACATTCATATTCTTCTGAATTCGCCGTTCCTCATCTGCAAAAACTAGTAATTAGTATGAGCGTGAAAAAAGCGATTCAAGAGAAAAAGCATTTGCAGGATGCCATAAACGAGCTTTATTTAATTACTGGACAAAAACCCACCGTTACAAAAGCCAAAAAATCAATTGCGGGATTTAAATTACGCGAAGGAATGGCCATTGGCGTTAAAGTAACTTTACGCAAAGAACGAATGTATGATTTTATTCATCGTTTAATTCATGTTATCTTTCCTCGTATTCGGGATTTTCGTGGTTTGAGTAAAACTTCTTTTGATCAGCACGGAAACTACAATATTGGACTTAGAGAAGAAATTATTTTTCCGGAGATTGATTATGACAAAATAAAAATAAACAAAGGCATGAACTTAACTTTTGTGATTCAAAATAAAAATACAGAGGAATCCTTATTATTATTGAGAAAGTTAGGTTTTCCAATTCAAAAATAAATTATGGCTCGAACATCACTAATCGCAAAACAAAAAAAATACACTCGATTTTCCAGTCGAGTCTACAATCGATGTTGAGCGTGTGGGCGTCAACGAAGTATTATTCGCAAATTTATGCTATGTCGAATTTGCTTTCGTGAATTTGCTCATCGCGGCTTAATTCCGGGAATAAAGAAGGCATCTTGATAAAGTTATGGCAATTGTTTCAGATCAAATTGGAGATTTAATTACTCGTATTCGAAATGCTTGTATGGTGGGGCATTCCCAATGCCGAGTACCTTTTTCTCAGTTGAAAATGCGTTTATTGGAAATATTAAAACAAGAACATTTTATTCAGAATTTTAAAAAAAATACACCGAATTCAAAAAAAGTTCAAACAGAGATTATTATTGATTTAAAATATACAAATAAAAAACCGGTGATTCAAAAAGTGATTCGAATTTCAAAACCGGGTATTAAAAGATATGTGAAAAAAAATTCTTTGCCCTATGTTTACAATGGAATGGGAATCGCAATTGTTTCCACTTCGCAAGGTTTAATGACAGATCGACAAGCTCGAAAACTTGGAGTCGGCGGAGAGGTTTTGCTTCATATTTGATAAATTATTATGTCACGAATAGGTAAACGCATTTTGCTCATTCCCGAAAAAGTTCATTTAAATGTTTCGGCTGATAGTCAAAAAATTGAAGTTCAAGGTCCGCTGGGTTCTTTACAAAAAACTCTTCCGGGAATTATTCAAATTTCAATATCGGGCCAAGAAATTAAAACCATTTTTCCTTCTAAAACGGCCCGTAAGTATTATCCTTTATTGGGCACAACAAATTCTCTTCTGGAGAATTGAATTGAAGGCGTGACCAAAGGATTTCGAAAAAAATTAATTATTTCCGGGTTGGGTTATAAGTGCAGTTTAAAGGCAAATATTTTACAACTAAATCTCGGATTTTCTCATCCTATTTATTTTCATTTACCCGATGGGATTCAGGTAGAAATCAAAAATAATACTATTTTAACGATTTCTGGAATTGATAAGGAAAAAGTTGGATTAGTCGCCAGTCAAATTCGTAAATATAAAAAAACCGAACCCTATAAAGGCAAAGGCATTCGTTATGAGGATGAAATTGTTCGACGAAAGGTCGGAAAAACCGCTTCCGGAACTAAATAATGCTTAATTATAAAAATCGTAAAATTGCTCGAAAAAAACGCCATCTTCGTTTACGTAAAAAAATTTACGGAACCGCGACTCGTCCTCGTCTTTCGGTCTTTGTTTCCAATCGTAATTTTTATGCTCAAATTATAAATGACGATCAAAATCACACATTAATTGCTTTTTCCAACTTAAATTTACCGAATAAACCCATAAATAATCAAAACACATGCGCTTTAGTAGGGAAAAACTTGGGTAAATTAGCGAAATCAAAAAAAATCGAAACGGTCGTTTTTGATCGAGGAGGATTTTTGTTTCACGGAAAAATTAAAAAGTTTGCCGATGCAATTCGGGAAGAAGGAATTAAATTTTAATGAGTGAAGAAAAAAAGAATTTATCCGTAATGAATAACAGTTCCAAAAAGAATTCGAGTTTAAAAGAAAAAAAGTCTCAAGGTCATGGTTCGGCAATTTCCACAAAAAATAAATCTCAAGAAAAATCAACATCAATGAGCGAAAATTCAACAAAAAATAAAGAAACAAATTTAAAGAAAGAGAAAACACATTTGGTTGATCATAAAACCGTTTCCTCATCCGTAATGGCAACAAAAAAACACGAAAAAGATTTGAATATTAAAGAGGCTTTACAAGAAGAACAAGAGAAAAGCCGTAAAGAAAAAATGAAAAGAAAAATTCTTTGAAGAAAAAGTGGTTTTTCGCGTAAACGTAAAAAAAGTGAATATAAATTTAAATTAATTGAAGTGAAAAGAGTAACCAAAGTTACTAAAGGAGGACGTCGTTTTCGATTTTTTGCCGTGGCTTTAGCCGGCGATCAAAAAGGAAAAGTGGGGGTCGGATTTGGTAAAGCGAATGAAGTGAATACCGCGCGTATGAAGGCCTTTGCCTATGCGGAGAAAAATTTGTTTTCCGTACCGATTGTGCGCGATACCATTCCGCACGAAATTAAAGAAAAATTTTGTAGTTCCATCGTATTATTAAAACCGGCCAGTCTTGGTTCCGGAGTCATTGTGGGCGGGGCAGCTCGTTCGGTAATTGAATTATTGGGAATTAAGAATATTCGTGGCAAATTACTTGGTTCAAATAATAAAATGAATGTTGTTCAAGCAACAATTAAATGTTTAAAAAATTTAAAAACCGCTAAACAAATATCAGAATTAAGAGGACATCATGAAAGCACAATTGAAAAACGAAATTAAATTACATAATTTATCTAAAATTAAAACAAAATCAATTAAAAGATTGGGTCGCGGAACGGGCTCCGGTCATGGTAAAACATCTTCTCGCGGACATAAAGGGCAACGAGCTCGAAAAGGCCATAAAATTAGTGCCGCCTTTGAAGGCGGACAAATGCCTTTTTACCGTCGAATTCCCAAACTTCGCGGATTTAAGAGACCTTTTCGACAAAAGTTTACCGTCGTGAATTTGAAATCCTTGCTCTCGCTAAAGGAAACCGAAATTACTCCGCAAATTTTAACTGAACACGGTTTAATTTCTCATTTTAAATTACCGATTAAAATTTTAGGAGCGATTGAATTAGATCGACCATTAATTATTTATGCTCATTCAATTTCTCATCGTGCATTACAAAGTCTTCTTCATGCGAAAGGAGAATTTAAACCTATTTAAATGTTTAAAAAAGTTAGTAAATTTCGTTTATTTCAATTTTTTCAGAATTATCGAGAAATTTTTATTCGTCTTGGATATACATTTTTTTTTATTTTATTATTTCGTTTGGGTGCTTTAATTACTCTTCCTGGAATTCAATTAAATGAAACCAGTACCGGTCAAAATGATTTTTTTTCTCTGTTATCTACTTTAGGCGGCGGAATTTTACAACGTTTTTCTCTTTTTGCGATCGGTATTTCTCCGTTTATTACCGCATCCATTATCGTACAATTACTTTCCACCGGGTTAGTTCCTATTTTAGGGCGTTGAGCTCGTCAGGGCCGAACCGGTCAAAATAAATTAAATACTTTGACCAAAATACTGATTTTACCCATTGGTTATTTGCAAGCCATCGGCAGTGTTTTGGCGCTTTCTCAAACACAGGCGATTACAATTCAAAGTGCACCCTTTTCCTCGGAATTATATAAATTTTTTCTGGTTCCAATTTTATTAGTTGCCGGAACCATGATTACTCTATTGTTAGCGGATTTAATTTCTCAAAAAGGAATTGGACAGGGAACATCAGTCATTATTTTTGCGGGAATTTTAGCCACCATTCCGCAACAAATCGAAACGGCCGTTACAAATTTATT